TGCTAGGAAATGCCTCAACAACTGTCAGAAGAAAATTCTGCTCCCTGCCTTTTTGCTGCAGTGGTCTGTGTTGGCAGGGCTGAGTAACAGCCACACCTCTCTGCACAAGTGGTATTGCAGAGAAGAGCAGGAGGGTTTCTCCATCTCTGACCAGGTCTGTGTGAATTAGAGAGAGCAGTGGCTCTTTTATGGTGCCTATTGGACAGCACAGTCCTATTTAAGCCCCCTGTATAGCTGCTGTATCAGAACAACTCAGGCAAGACTATACCCATTTCTGTGACTTCAATCAGGCTTTCATTCCAGTCACCTATGCACATTATAGGGAGCAATACTAAGCTAAACTGAGCTTCAGCCTACACATTTACAAAGTGCACTCATCCTTTGTGCTTTATACATCAGACAGGGTAGCAGGTCCTACACAACACACTACCTCTATGCACAATATGACAGCGTGGAGAAGAAATATACTGTTAGAGCCAAACTAATGCTGGAGGCATGAAGGAAAAAGACGACCGCTCAAGCCACACCATAGCAAAACGCATATCTGTTCAACCCATTCACACATTAAAGTGTATGAGGTGTGCAGACTGAGTGGAAGGAGCCATTTTGTTGGACTGGTCAATGTTTTGGGCAAAGCAGGAAATCCTTTCACCAGACATTCGTGAATAATTCACAGGAACATTGATTTATCCCACAAAATGGCCTTCTACTCCATTCATGTCTGACAGGTACACTTTAAGGATAGCACATTCTAAAAACGCCACAAGAACTGGCTTAGCCAGGACGTGGTTCACGTTAAGCAGATGTGCTCAAGAATTCATCTTGAAATTTCTGGATCAAGTTACAGAATAAACACATTTTTGCTTCAAAGATATTAACACAACTAAAAATACAAATAGAAATATATATATAGATTTCTTAGAGAAAACAAAAATAAAGCTTTCTTAGATATTGGAGACCTCCTTCAGACTTCTCAGTCTTCATTGGAGGTTCACAAAGAAAGGCAAAGCCATAGATTATAAGAGCCCTCAGTTATTAGAGTGAAGAATTACAGAACCGTCACCACCGCTAGCAACAAGCTAGCAGAGAAGAAACAAAAAAATGACACAAAGCAAAAACTCAAAATCCCCTCACCGACCTTTCCAACCAATGTTTTCTAACAACCCTCAAACGCCCCGTGTGTTTAGTTGTACGGCGATTCGCAGAAACACACGACATTATGGCTTTGTTAGGTTTATAGGCCTATGGTATGCAAGCAGTTTGCGGTTGTAGAAATGTAAAGCCTCGGTCCTCAAAGAAATAATTTCCATGACCCTTCAAAGCAAGCAAGCTAAACAGAAAAGAAGAACGGAGGAGACAGACATGTACTTCAGTATGTGGTTATAATTTACATCGAAATTCTGCAAGAAGGCCTAGCAGGAGATGGCTAGTGTTTGGTGTTCAGTCTTGTGATACACTGCTATTCCTCAGGACAATGCTTTCATGGGGATAAAGGCAAAAGATCCCAGGTTCCATCTTGGAAGTGTATTTCACCATCATGTCCAATGTGGAATGTTCTTGCTGCCTCTTCATTTCTCTGTAGAATGAAAAATAAACACGATCAGCCAAAGTTTCAAAAAGTTTCTCTACCTATCCATTACCAGGCACTGGCAAGACGCATGGAGGAAAGGGATAAAGCTATGTTCCCCATACCTTGAAGTACCTGACCTAACAGGGCAGAGGGGGAATGAAAGGAAGGTGAATATGTACAGCGGGCGAGAACAGCAGTTTAAAAAAGAATTATGAGGCGAGTGATTTTCACTCAGCCTCATAATCTGAGTCGACCTGTGACAATGAGACTGTCACAGGTCGGCTCAGTAGATCGGGAAGTGAGCGAACACATACCGTCGCTCACTCACTTCTCGATCTATCCCTGCAGAGAGCCGTGAGTGACAATCACTCACGGCTTCCCTGCATAGGAAAGCCAGACTCATTTCAAGAAATAGGAGTATTTTTTAAGATACACACATGAAACTCTTCAGATTTGTTCCAATGAGCTTAAAGTGACATTAAACCCTCAAATTTTTTAACATAAACCAATACTGTAATGTGCGCCTTACTGTAATCCATGGTTGTTTCCCTTCTCTTTGCTGCTCTTCCTTTTAAATCCGTATCTCTTCTCATGCTGGGCAGAACTTCTGTTTTGCAGCAGACTGCCTTGTCTCTGGAATGGATACATGGTGTCTACGTGTACGTTTGCAACCTGAGCCAGCACTACAGGAAGAGGCACTCAGCTGCAAAGGGAAGTTCTTCCCAAGCATAAGACATGAGGTTTTAAAAGGAAGAGCAGCAAAGAGAAGGGAAACTACCATGGATTACAGTATTGGTTTATGTTAAAAAAATCTGAGGGTTTAATGTCATTTTAAGTGTCCATTAACATTTTGAAACCCTTGTTTTGGTTTAGAGTTTGTAATTATACATGAAGGTGGGGGCAGCCATATTGGCTTATTACACAAACTCTACTTCCTGCTTTGCCATGCTACACAATTGTTGTGCTTCACCACTCCTTTTCATTACTCAAGTACATCAGTTTGCTGACTTTTTGAAAACAATGTATTTCCCTGTATCACCAATGTCTCTGCTTTTAATCTGCCCTCCCAGCGATGGCCAATCTTCAAATTTCTACAGTTACTGTAACAAAGATGGAATAAGCATGCAAAATGTGAAAGTCACATGTGTTTTTGAAGATGCATAGTTCTAGCCGACCTGTGACCATGAGACTGTCACAGGCCAGCTTAGTAGATCGGGAGGTGAGCGAACACATACCGGCGTTCGCTCACTTCTCGATCCTGTCATGACTCTCTGCCGTGACAGGGGAGGGGCTGGATTCCCCCCTCCCCGCTCTGCCAGCGCTGACTGGCGGAACGGACAGGGGGAGGGGGCGGGTACAGCTGGCTCTGCCTCTTGATAGGCAGAGCCAGCTGTCAGTCATGCAGCTGGGCAGATCCAGACATAATTGTCGCAATCCGCTTCAGCGTCTCAGCATACCGCGAAAAGCAGCTCGCGGTATACTGCGGTGTCTCAGTATACCGCGAGCAGCAGCTCGCGGTATACTGAGCCTAGGGTGACGGGAGGATGCTAGTTTGTGTCCTCCCGTTACTCTAAGGAGAACTATGGGGAAAAGCCTTAACCCCATAGTTCTACTTTAAAGTGGACCTGCCAGCTGCTGCCTTGTAAAGCACTTGGGGAAAGTATGTCCCCTCCTTCCAGCATAATTGTTTAAAACGCTATACTGCAAGTGTAGGTACAACCACATAATCATCTCACCTGGCAAATATTAGAAAGTAATTGGTTTGCCTGAGGTTTTCTCCTGCACGTAGGTAGTAAACCTTTTAAGAAATTTGGGGTATTCACGTTTGGCCACTGCTCTTAGGACTGACGCAGGAGCCCATCCTCCAGGATTTACTGAAAAAGAGAAAGCATGTCAGTACAACACTGCATTACACACGTCTACACAATATGCCAAGCCCAAATTTTAAATGATGACCTCAAACACTATGCTGCATTTTGTGTACCCAACATTATGCAGATATTTAGCTATATTTTACCTCAGAGGCTAAAACACCGGGGTTGCATGTCAATGCACTTCTAAAGACACTAAAATCTACATATAAGTTCACAAAAACTAAGAAAAGTCCCATTTAAAAGAAGCCCATCATTTCATTTCCTCACTTAGAAATATTATGGGAATCTGGAAGTACAAAAACAAGAGCCAACATTGTTTCCTTAGAGGAACTTACACCATGCAAACTGCAATCTGAATAGAGGCTAAGATGACATCTTCTGTGGCTGTAAAGAATAGACGGTTGTAGTCCCGCTTCAAGGTGCAAGCTCCAGGACTGGCTTCCCTACCTATTGCATCACTGACCTAGACTGTATGCAGAGAATAAAGCTCTGCTGTGCATGTTCAGTTTGGGGTCAGTAGCCCACTCAATAGTGAAGCTGGGATCAGGATAACAGTCCTGGATCTAGCACACTTTAGTGTACAATTACAACTCATTGCTATTCTCAAAGGATGCCTTTACAGGGCACAGATTTTATGTTAGGCCTTAACTACACGCGTCCTGTGCTAACCAATGTCTCAATCACAGCACACCGAAATCAATGCATTGCAAAAAAGAGGTAACTCAAGTGATTCACCTCTGTAGTTTTGGCCTCAACTCCCACATGAGGAAAAGAAAAAATAGACTCTTCCTATTTTACATCCGAGTAGGGGTAGGCTAATCCCATTTAGCGCTTTGTCTTGTGTGGAGGAGATATTTGAAAGTTAACACTATACATCCTGTTTAATACAAGCTCTCATGCAGTAGAGTGTGACGGATCCAACCAAATCCAGTGAAAGTAGATGTAAACCATAACTCAATGGCATTTGGTTTGCTAAAGCACTTGTGTATCAAACAACTGACATTTTTGTATATTCAATCTGTTTATCTCCTGCAGCCTCTTTGCAGCACTTGCACTGTCTACATGCACTCAACTGCTGCACGCTATTTCTTAGGGCGGGTTTCCTGATGGTGACAACAGTAGAACATGCCTGCGCAATTTGTGTAGTCGCAGCAGCTGGTAGTCTCAGAAGCTTGTAGTCTCCACTAGGAGCCAAGGACAGAGCATTGTTACTCGAACAGATAAAGCCCTTCATGGCAGGGTCACCAGGTATTGTAATGAAAGTGCCTTGTGAAAGTACACTAACCTGTTAAAGTTTGAGATTTTAGTGATGGGGTTTACTTCAAGCAAATAGCAGAGTGGGCCTTTTTACTGTACATCATAATCTTTTATCAAAATCTATATCTAGAATACATAGAAAAAGAGCCTTACCATTTGCAACATATGTAATCTTGCATTGAATGTTGTCTCTACTGATTTCTTTGTTGCCTTCTGGTGGACTGACAAGTGTTTGACAGATCAAGGCAATGTTGATTTTGGCACGGACACACCGGTTATTGAGCTAACAGGAAAAAAAAATGGATGTTAATGGTTGAACCAAATGATGGCCTACTTGGTGACCAGCCAAATGTGAACAGAAATATTCTTAGAGTCAATGGAAGAGGCTTTCCCAATATACTATGTACCTTTATTAAATACGCAAAAAGACACTAGCTTCATATTTTCACTTCAGTGGACACAGTATATAGCAACATACTTGGACTATTTGTGGCGAGAGCAGAGCTGGACCCCGCACTAAACTGAAATTGGCACCAATGTAGCTTAGAGACAAGGTCACCTTTCATGCCAGTGATTAGAGAAGAAAAAGTCTTCCGATTGCATCATATACATGAAAAGGTCTTGTGTGACCACAAGGGATACAAATACAATAATGTTATCGATAGTTAATATTAGTTACATTCATCTGGGCATGTTCTGTAATGATGAAGATGTCTAGCTGCTTTTCCAAGCCAACGAGTATCAGGATCCCCGACATTTATAGCCTCAAAGAAGCTGCTTGGATAAATTGTGAAACATCTTCAACATTACAGGAAAGTCCAGCTGAATGTAACCTACTACTGCTAGATTCTCCAAGGCCAATAAAAATGAGATCCTTCACAGACATGGCTACTGAGATTGTTTTTATAATATGGCCATGTCTGTGGTATAGTCAATTCCTGTAAGAGGGTATCTAGCCGAAGTTATGTTTCCCCAATGGGGATAGTCACTCTCTCTACATCACCCGTTGGCTAATGTCACCAAGACTGGATGTGAGGGAAAAATCCAACATTTTGGGTTGTCACCAGAACAGTAATAGAAGGGAAATCTCTCATGTGGAAATTTGTTCTGACAACTGTCTAAGAGGATTTCCCCTAACTTTGTTATCTCCATGAAACAGGAAGTGATCAGAAGTCTCAACACAGACAGCAAAAAAAAATAAAATAAAAATCTAGCCGGATTTTAAAGCTGCACTGAAGATAAACATCTACAGAAACAGATGTAATACAAATACCACAGCTCCAAGTCAAACTTGTGTGCCAACATGTACTTTCATGCAAGAAGTTTATGTATTGATGTATTAAGGATTACAGACCTACATTATCTTTTAAAGGAGAAGTATTGGGAGAGTAAAATGTACTCTTCCCAATGCTTAGAGCCAGCGTGGGACACTGCAGCTCTCACATGCCGGCTCTATAGATAGAGAACTGAGCGATCATGTGACCGCTGACTGATTAGGGGTGATTTACTAACCTAAACACACGCACCAGGTGCGTGTGATTTTCACACAGCAAAACGTATTTATCAACCAAAAAGTCTCTAAAAGCATATTTCCACTAATGCCATATATGGGAAAATCATGCACATGATGCATATATAATGCTGCTTCACAGTTTAGGACAAAAATGGTTAGCTCATGCATTTACATTCCTGCATTCATCAACGCAAGCAACACAACATAGAGCTAATTTACACAACATCACCTTGTAATTCAATGCTTGGCTTTGCACAACACACCTGCTGGGTGTGTACACACTACAAAAGGTGTTTAGATTCCACCCATAGATCATGCTGGGTGTGTACACACTACAAAAGGTGTTTAGATTCCACCCATAGATCATGCTGGGAGGGAACACACTACAGAGGTGTATACATGTTCGTGGTGTGTTTATAAGGTTAGTAAATCAACCACATTGTCTCCTCCCTGCAGAGATCGTGGACTGTCAGTCACCACTCCCCACAGGGATTCCCACCTTCCTTCTGTTCCTCCAGCGGCCACTGGAGGGACAGGCAAGGGACGGGAAGGCAATCCATCAGGCAGCTGGGTATATCCCAAAGATACTGTCAAGATCCCTCAGAGCAAAAATTATTGGTATTCGTATATTTTCTTTCCAGGCCGAATGTATTCCATTCATAAGTTTAGAGTGAAATAGAAAAAGATTGCATTATGGTCAATAGATGGCTCCAAGAACCACATGAGATCAGCATGTATCCATAATGCAGTATTTTCCTGATGCTCTCTAATCTTATGAATGGATTACATTCAACTAGGAAAGAAAAGACTAACATTTATGTTTGCCCCATTCGCACAGAACAAATGTACATGCAATTTTTAAGGCTGAACGGCACATTTTTTACAACTACTCACTGAAAAAACAAAACCAACCTCTCTATTGAAATCTGCTTACCCACCAGCACTGCACAGCCAGTATACTCACCGGAGCACTGTCATGGTCGACTGAGAAATTGCACACTATCCAAGTATCCGTTTCATTCTCACTAGCAGCTGGAATCATTCTGATTGCAGATAAATACAAGACGTCCCGCTGAGAAGCCGGCCATACTCTCTGCAATCACAAGCAACCATTAACTGTCGGCTCTCTGATGCGGATTTACATACATTTGCAAAGTGTACAGTACAAGCATCGTACCTTGTGCGTCTGATAAACGATGATTGCATTCGGAGATATTTTCTCAACCACATGGAAGTTATCAATTGTCGCTGTGGAAAAATATATACAAGTCAATATGTACATATAACTCGTGAAACAAAAAACGCAAAAAAGGAAACCGCCACTTACTTTCCCAGTCATTGCGCACTTCGACATTCCAGAAGTGTTGGCAGACTTCGTGCCCGGTAACACCTTTCACAGAATGGGTGGCTTTTAATGGGTCGAGGACAATGCCATTCTCTTCAACTTCTCTTCTATATACCTATAACAAAGTTGATTTCTATTAAGAAATGCAGGAGAAAGGTTTCAGATCAAATTATATTATTGTTAAAAGATCCATACTGGGGAAGCTCCATGACAAGCAGGTATTTCTCTCTTATTAAGTGAGAGCTAAGGAAATAAAATATACATAATACAATATGATACATAGTACAATTGGTTCCAGTTACAGATCATTCATCACATTCTGGGAAAGCGCATCTTTTGAAAAGGAAAAGATTACCATTTGCAGGCATAAGCTGCCTGGCTTATTGCTCTAGTGAAGGTTTTGAAATGGGGTTCTTACTGAAGATAATCTCAGCTTATGCATTTTGCATGCCCTGTCTGAAGTACTTAAGAGTAACCTTGTGGGTCTGGAACCGTATTAAAATATTGCCCTTTAATATTTTAGCAAGCACATTCATAAAATCATTGTGTAAAAAGCATATTTTATTACCTTCATTTCTCCTTCTTCTACAACAAGCTGCCAGTTGGCATCTCCACCCACATCTTGTAGCGAGTATGTTATGTGGTTTTGTACCATCTCTTCCACCTGCAAAATACATTTACTATTACTTAAGAACCAAACCAAGCCACAATTTTATGTTAAATTGGGTGAGGAAGTCACAGAACGTCTGTCAGGTTTTTGTGCTTTCATTGTAGTAATCTCTCATCATGATGCATCCCGGGGACAGGGTTTGGGATGTGTAAAGGTGCCCATACACTGCACGATTATCGTACGATAATCGTATGCGATCGGTTTTTCGTACGATAATCGAGCAGTGTGAACGGAGACGTGCGACTGTTTCTACTGTACGGTCGCACGTCTTCTGTCGAACCAGCATGTTTGAAAACCAGCCGGGAATCGTACGATGCTCGTTAGAACGGTGCTCGGAAGACAAATGCCGAACGGGCAGTGTGCGCACGCGCACACTGCCCGTTCAGCATTGCGGTCATCGGAAGCTCGTTTGCGATGGTCGAGAGTGCGATCTGCCTGTCCAAGATAGGCAGATCGTACGTTTTTTTTAATCCCTGTACAACCATCGCAAGACTAAAGTCTTGCGATGGTTGTAGAGTGTATGGCCACCTGAAGTGGTGGTGGGGTGACCTCGTCTGGGTGGTCTAATCAGTCTTTTCAAATCCCTACAGTCTACTGTAATGGAAAACATCACATGCACGTAAACAACATGTTCCTCTGTTGATGTAAAATGTAATGTCCTTTTCAGTCGCAGCAATTTGCAAATGTGTTCCCGTAATTGCAGATGGTGAATATAATTAGGCGGCCCTTTGTAAGGGGCACATTTGAGATCCCCTATATTTTTGAAGTCTTACAGGACTGTTAAACAATTCTTTTGATCCTACAAAAAGGTTTTTGTACAGGTGGAGAGATTTCCCTACACTTCCTCCGACTCCTTTACATCGCGAACAAAGGGGCAAATCTCTCCAGTGACAGCAGTAAAAACCTGACAGAGGTTGTAAAACTACCCCACCCAAATACAACTGTTTTGACCAAAGCTGGACTTTAAGACGACAATGGAGAACTTAAAAACAAATGCATACTGTTAAGATGTGAATACACAAAGTCCATTTTTCAAGAGCAGAAGCCAGGAAATGTGGTCCATATCAAACCAATGTTTCTAGGCCTATTCACACTAGATGCTCTGTAGTGAAGCACAACACCTAAAAAGGGACATGCTGTATTTTTGTTGTGCTCCTTTGAATTTTTTTTCTATATTCAAGAAAAATTTTGGGCAGTGATAAATTAAAATAGAATTTATTTCTCGTTTTTTTCCAGGGATAATCTAACAGAGTAATTCCTTTCTCCGGTCGTGAGGACCATCCCCACCCACCCCCGAAGCCACTCTGCTTGCCCCTGGTCAATGTCATCAGTGCAATGCAAGACCTGTGGTCACATCCCTTCCTAATGTGGCCGCTGGTCCTGCATTGTACAGGATGATGTCGGGTTGCCGGTCCATATTATGGAGGGTGGAGAAAATCTCCAGGGCTCACAGAACTGTGGTAGAAGCTCAGCAGTACAGTGTTTGATCATCCCCAGAAAAGATGAACACTATATTCTTGAGCCGGGTATGCACGCTTTAAATTTTGGCCCGTTCTTGCTGAACCAACCGAAATTCGATGCATGGGTGCTGCTGCTGGTACCTTTCCAACCGGCATCTCTGGATCAGCTGATCCAAGGAGCATTTTGGAAAATTGTCAGACGAACAGAGCTAGCAGCCAATGAGCTCAGAATACGAAGGAAACAGCAGGCGATTCCTCGACCAACACTTGTAAGCATTGATGGAGGAATCTATTTTCTATGTTCAGCCTGCAGGTTGAACAAAGAAAATAGAACCGTGTATACACGAGGACTTGTCAGTTGGAGGACACAATTTTAAAATGATGTTATAACTGCAGAGTTACACTAAGTCTCTCTAACCACATTAAAAATATATCCAATTGGTTTATACACCACGGCGTATCTAGTGTGAGCAAAGGGAGTCATGCTTTTAGTGACAGTCGCATATAAATAACATTACATACACTTGCAAGTGTCACCGTTAGGAAACAAGTCTTTCAGTGCTTCAGTTAGTGGTTAAAGGTTTTTTAGTTTTGATGCAAATTAATTTTACAGCATTCAGAAAAAGACACAAAAGGTCTGTCTGGTTATATAAAGAGTGCAAGAAAAGAAAAGCAAACTGTCTCACTTGTACAATAACAGTACCTGGCTCTCAAATCTGTGCTCGCTAGTAGTACTGACTAAATCAGCTGCAGGGGAATGACAGAGGGGCTGCCAGACAGATGGCAAAAGACAAAACAGGTGGAGATAAGTACAAATGGCAAGTCATTGCAAAACAAAGAGCACACGGAGGGGGAACTTCAATCCCAATTTTATTTAGTTGCCGAGTTTATGTCTCCCACGCAGATGTGTGAGATCTCCAATAGGTCACGTCATGAACTCTGTGCTTAGAAAGCTCAGCTGGTAAGATTTTGATTGGTCAGTTAACCATTTTTTTTCCAGTGACAATGTTATCTGATATCTTATTAGATTTAAAGCACTCCAGGCAAATAAAAAAAACAACATTTGTACTACGGCTACCTGGCACTGCAAGCGTTAAGTGCTTGTTTTGGTCAAGGGCCTGGAATAAAGCAGATTTACCTGATCCCCGCTCCCTCTGGGCCGCCAGACCAATGCCCGCCGCCTCTTTCCCTGGGCTCCAGTGGACTGCTGACATGTCTTATGCAGGTCCACTGATCGGCATTGGACGTGATGCTGAGGAGCATTCCGTAGCCAGAACGGAGGGGAAAGTAGTAAGCGCTAACCGCCAAGAAAAAAAAAAAAAAAGAGCACTTACCCTTGCAGTGGGGCTCCCCCCCCTGTACTGAAAGGGTTACATTTTAGATCTGCCTGGAGTTCTTTAACTCTTGTTCCCAAAAAGGATGCATCACCCAAAAACATGTAAGTTGTAGAAGGCAGACCTCCTTATCTGTACAAGTCAGTCTGCACTCATTCACAGCTCAACACTGACTCTTAGAGCCTGAGTCACCTGGCTGTTGACATCAGAACTGCTTCTCTAACCATACAAGTCAATGGGAATGTAAAACCCACTCAAAGCAGTTTGATGCCCCTTAGCAGGTCAAACGCATCAGTCAATGAATTCTGAATGATCACAGAAGTGATTCAAACTGATATCAAATACAATTGCAATGTGCCTGAAAGTAAGCCGTATGTCCCCATAAACACAGGCCCAAAGCCCTTACACTGATTGAGCGTGTTCTACACCAGGCAAGCAGCAAATGTATTGCTTACTTAATGGAGGGAAGTGATCATAGAGAGCTTTCCTATGATATTAGTCAGTGTACTTCGATATGGAAACGTCATACAACTGAAAATCTATTTGTTATTAACCTCTGGCATATGTGGAGGTCTTGGTACATTACACTTCAATAAATATGATAAAAGAATCAAAGTAGCAGACTCACTGTCCTGGCAAATCTGTGCTTTCCGACCCCTGTGAATGCGTCACAGCTTGGCATAGCGGATGGTAAATGTGTCCGGCTCTTCTCCGTCTGAGACTGGGGAAAAGTAACAAGTGTGTTATAGCAGCAGACCAATATAAAAACAGTTTAAACATATCTTAGAGAAAAAACAGCACTATGCAACTAGATAAGCCCGGCCCTTTAAACAACGCTCATTTACACATGACCAGCAATAATTGACACATGAATACTTTAATAGTAGAGTGCCGGTCATACAAAGAACTGCAAACTCAAAATGGTTCGATTTAGTTTTAGTCCTATTTTAGTCATCTGATTTGCTGTAGTTGAATGGTCTGAATACAAGTCTTGCGTATGCTTGATTCTTGGTGTGCTTTGTGTATTTCTTCCAGGTCTGTGCAGTAATCCAATGTAAAAAAACTTTACCTGCATCCAATCAGATTGTTTAGGTCTTTGAAAGCCAGCGGGGCCGACTAGCAAGATACTGGAGCTTGGCCCAGTAGGCGATTCCACCATCCACACAGTTTAGCGTAGATGGAGGAATCTGTTGCACTTTTTCCATCTAACCATAGAAAGTGTGCAGATCATCTATAGGTGTATGGCCAGCTTAAGGCACTGACAAATCTTAAATTAAAAGGAACCTGCTTAATGTCCAAAAACAACGTGAAAAACCTGCACTCCTACCAGGACCCTTAAAGAAGACACTAAAAGAACGGTTTTAGACCGAGACATCTCTGTTGCCCCACAGCAAGACAAAGCGGAATGCTGGGTAACATATTTTATTAACCCTTGCCACACTGCAGGGATTAAGTGCCCATTTTTGTCTAGGGTAAAAAAAAAAAAAAAGCACGGCGCAGAGGTCAGAGTCACGCACGGCGCAGAGGTCAGAGTCACGCACGGTGTAAGGAAGAAAGAAAAGGGACTTACAGTGCACTTAGATGCCGAGATGTACAGTGCACTCGTCCACACACAATTTTCACTCGCCAATTGCGAGGGGGCGAGTGGAGATTTTAAAGCCTGGTGTATAGGACGTGAGGACGTCGAGCGACATACCATCTCTGCAGTGGAGGAGGAGACATGCAGGAAGGAGTGTTGTCACAGCCGGCCGGCTCGGAGGATCAGGCAGGTATAACTATTTTTAACCGTAGGCAAAAATAAGAACATAACCCCTGCAGTAGCCCCACTGCAAAAGTTAAAGGTTTTGCCCGGAGTTGTTCTTGGGCCAACGGACTGTCTGACATGTTTATGGAAAAATTCTGCATGGGAGCTGTAAAAGATGAATGTTGCTAGGCTCTTGTCCTTTTACTGCACACTGTTACAAAAATAATAGGCACTAATAATTTGAAAGCTTCGGTAAAAACTGATCTCAGATTTTTTTTATGGGTTGTAATCCTAGGTGATACTGTAAGCAGAGCCCACAAGGTGGCAGCAAACATAACAAACATGCTAAATACAGAAGATTCTCCCTCCACCTACCGGTGATTGCAGTCTTACAATGTCATCTCTAAACTTACACTTTCTAACAGCACTGACTAAAAAAAAATAATAAACGGTAACAATTTTTGATGAAAACTAAGTTCTAGTTTAAGAGGGACATCTGTGATGAAGTCCAATATCAACAGCCACCTGGAAGCACTTGTGCATGGTGGGAACCATTTAACACATTCGGCTCAATTCAATTAGGGGGAAATGAGTTTCATGTCTTCATGTGACAACTTTTTTCAATGGAACCTGGCTCACTAAACCTTTACCATACAGATCATTTTTGGAATACAGAATCGCAAAAAGGAAGCCCAAAAATATGCACTTGAAATATAGCACCAAGTGTACATGGGGCAGAACAGCGGCTTAGTGGTTAGCACTGTGGCAATGGGATTTTGTTTCAAATCTGAGTTTAGCGGTTAGCACTAGGCCACTGTGGCAATGGGTTTTTGTTTCAAATCCTGGCCAGGACAATATCTGCATGGAGTTTTCATGTATTCCTATTTGCATGGGTTTCTCCACAGACACAGAGACACAGACTGGCCAAGCGTGGGATACAACTGAAAAGATGATATCACACAAGTGTACATATCAATTGTGCATTTTGCAGCAGATTAGTTCCAGATAGTAAAGCAGGTGTTTAAGTTAGAAACTGAGACGGCACTGTCTCTCCTGCTGAAAGGTAATATGAAGCTGTGGATAGCTTGGTCGGAGCCTTCAATGGAAGTTTAGGATCGATTTCAGTTGCTAGGAGGCTGGATCCTTGCTAGGTTTTCCCTGTTTTCTAACATGAAAGTTAGCCATTGGAATAATATGGAATTAAAATGGGTCTCTATGCTCCACAGTGTACATAAATATTGGCCAAAATGTTTGGGGACACCCGACCAAACATATATGAAGTTTTTGGACATCACATTCCTAATATGAGGGAATTGGTGCCCATACAGCCAAAAGATTATTTGTGAGGTCAGGTAATGCTGGGCAAGAAGACATTGCTTGCAGCAGACATCCCAATTCACCCCAAAGGCATTTAATAGTGTTGAGATCAGAGCTCTGTGCTGGTTGCTCAAGGTTCTCCACACAATCTCCTCATTACTTCATAGAATTGGCTTTGTGCACAGGTGCACAGTAATGCTGGAACAGAAAAGGGCCTTTCCCAATCACATGTATGCTGTAGTATTAACATACTTTAGGCTATGTAGTGTAGGTGTGATGGCACAGTACACACAAACGATTGGCCATATAGTGTATGTTTAATAATCTGAACATGGTGGGCTCTGCAGTATGGACACATGCCAGGTATTTTTGTATGGAAAATATATGTAATGTTTGTAATAGTTTTACAATTCAACTTTTGTTTCTGAAATTGGAGCTCCAAGTAGGTTGCTTACCATAGCTCCTGCATCAAAGGTCACAATCACCCTGCAGGTACACACACCTCCCTTTATAGTATATTGCTTTCTGGCATTTCAGCACGGTATTTGCTGAATATCCATTTACTGCCGTTTCAGGTTTGAAAACATTGTCAGAATACCCAACAATTAAATAAGACGACAACTAACTGCACCTTTTAGTGTAGTGTGCGAGCACAGTTAGTGTGAGCTGTTAGATTTGTATTTATTCACCGTCTTCTGTTTGTATCATTTAAACCACCATTACCTGCTCAATTTTGTCCTGTCGGTCCAAAGCAGCCTCAACAGCATCAAAGAACTCTTCCTCATTGATCAGACTGTTGGGTCCCTCCTGTCAAAGCAAGACATTGTTATTTTCTGTGCATTAAACACATACAAAGGGATTTTCTGTGTAAAGCTGTCCATACAGCAAGAGAATTTTGTATTAACAAATTCGTTTTTGGAATGTAAAATACTAAAGTATTACTGACCAATCCTGTACATGTGACTGTAATCTTAATAATCATGCATATAATGCAAGGGCCTGCCTAAGCAATCCATTCAACCAAACTGCATCGGTTTAAAAAGGTAGGCCCTCATTCTATACAATTATTAAGTCATTGAAATAAGCACAAGTGGACTGTAATGTGACCATCTGTAGGATGTAGCTGTTGTGCTTGCATGCTGCATATTCTCCCCGAGTATAGGAAGAACTGGCTATCACTGTTGTCAGCCAAGATGAAAGACTGCATTGTGTCGAATGATTAGCAGGATTCTTGAAATGTTGAGATAGGAAAAAGGGTAGTATGCGAGTGCTGGAAGGGTCCATGCACTAAAAACCCAAGATAAACATGGCCATGGTGATAACTGGTGGGAGCAATGGCTGGAATTGTATTTTTTCCTCAAGCACCCCCCTGCTAGTAACACACTTCCTGTGCAAGGGTGACAACACTTACTAAGCACATCGTATCTGTGGAGGACCAACACTGTGGTATGAACAAAAGTGACAAAAGCACAATGCTTTGGATAGTTTGGCAAACTGGTAAAATGAGCAGCTGAGGTGTGTTTGCTAGTGAAGAAATGTGCTATTCTGGTAATCATTCCTATAACAGAACTGAATTACTGAGCACTGGTAGGATTAGAACTGACCAGATCAAAAGGCCATCTTTGGACCTTTACAAACATACCACTAACCAAATGCAGCTCTGGCAACCAGCTAAGGCTACAGCATTAGAAAAAGTGAAATGGAGGGTGAAAGTTATATAGGAAACCAGTGCTGCAAGAAGTGGGGACTAAAAGAATGGACGTTTGTGGCACTAGGACTACCACATTGTGCAGTGAGACCTCAGAGGAGAGACTTGGCCCTTAGCTGCAGGCCATCCCTCAGAAGCAACATCAAGAAAGTTTCACAGTTGCACAGCACCAATCATACAGTTCTTTCCCTGAAAGGGGGCATACTTCATAGTCTGGTCCTCCAAAATGGGCTTTCTTCTTTAGTTCAGTCAGGGCATTCTTGTATGCTTCTTCAACACGTCTCCTTTTTTCAACCTCCTACAGAGAGGAACGAAAAGTTATTTCTACTCAGCAACAGCTACCTACATAGTCAGAGTTGCTATCAAACTAGGATATGCATGAAGATGTTTAAAGATGACTGATCTACACACACCTTTATGTACTAAAACTACCTGCTGGCTTTTGATTGAATGGCTCTTAAATTCCCTGGTGGAAAAACTTTACCCAAAAACCTAAGTGTGTGCTCATCTTTTGACCACATTAATAGCCATAGACACGCTGGAAGGTTAATTGGCTCCTGTCTAAGATGACTCTGTGTGCATGTGAGATAAGGACCTTAGATTGTAAGCTTAGATTGAATGTGCACTAAAGCGCTGAGTAAATTGTTGGTGCTGTATAAATATTTGTCAAACAAATATGGTGCACTACAATATTGTTTGAAGAGAAGAAAAAGCTGGACTGGGTGATGTCACAGCCTGACTCTTCACTGTACCAGGAAACCAGAAGGAGACCAGACACAAAGCTAGCAGATTAGTGATTCCATTTTCCTCCCTCTGCAGAATGACTCCAATAGCCAAAACTACAATACACATTCAAGGCCACTCAAACCTGTGCCAATGATTGTTGCACTGCCACTTAAAACAAAGTACTTTTCTTAAGAGTTACTAATACTGAAACTTGTTGCAATGCTTGTGAAAGGCCAATATGCCTAAAATACAGCTGCCACATCATTTTAAACTAGCTAATGGTAATATAGTTGATGGACGAAATGATATCTACAACTGGAAATGAGTCCCACCTTGTCCAGCCTTTTTTGCCAGCTGTCCTCCCGCTTTACCATAAGGTCAATGCAATGTGACAGAGTGGCCAGAATTCCTGCTGTAGTAGCTTTGAAAGTGATGGCTTCTCCTTTAAAATCAATGCCATTAATCCCCTTGGGAGTTACATGTGGGAACACTGTAAGAAAAGACAATTGCACTTAGAACAAAAAGTTAAACTTCCATAAGACGCAGTATATAGTACAAGAAGAAAAATCACAATTGGAATACTTGCTTTAGAGAGTTACGATGATCAAAGTATCATGATAAGAGAACACAACTTGCTGTAAAGATGCAAATTCAAGGCAACATGAATACCCAATATAAAACCAAGACTAGCATTACATGTAGTAATCTGACCTTACTCAAGGCACTAGATCCCCTCTGCAAATGTCCTGAGCACTCTAATCTAGTAAACCTGGCCATACACTATAGGAATCTCAGCTGGTTCTTGATGAAGCTGATCGAAATGTCAAAAAATCTTCGAACAAACAAAGCTGGCAGCCTCATATTGCAATCTGTTTGGTTATGTGGCCGCCGTCAGAATACAATGCAAACAGCGGCAGATTCCACAATCAATGCTCAAAAGTGTTGGAGGAATATAATATTTTCTTTGCTCGGCTCACAGGTTGAACAAAGAAAATATTACAGTGTATGGCCAGTGCATGACTCCCAGAGGCAGAGACATGATGGTAGTTTCATCACAGCAGGAGGGGCCAAGGTTGCCTACCCCTGCTTTAGAACATACCTGGAATGAGTGAACAGATCACACGTCACGACTTCTCCCTTTCTAGTCTGCATACTTTTTCAAGGTCACTGACCCAAAGTATTGGAGGGACATTGAAGCAACTAGCATTTTTAGGAAGTCTGAATGACATCCCACTATTTTACAAATGTTTCCTTTACATTCTGCTTAGGACGCCAACATCTGGGCATTTTGGCAGTGTCTTACGTCATCCAGGGGAGGCAGGGAGCCAATTACAGGAGCATGGGGTATGAGGATTACCAGAAACACTGACTACAAACTGAAAACCGGTTACTGTGGTTTAAAAGGGAGAAAAATCACTCTGGTCAGTTACACTAATGATTGGCTTCAAATAAAAAATAAAAGGTAATTTTAAAAGGAAAACTACCTTTATACAAGACAGGTTCCAACAATGCAAAACATTCAGAATATATTCAATTACCACACATTATTATTACTACATAGTATTTATGTAACGCCAACTGTTTGCGCAGCACTTTACAATGTAAGGAAGACATAACAGTTACAATACAATTCAAGACAAGATGGTGAGGAGGGCCCTGCCCCTGAGGGCTTACAATCTAAAGGAGGAGGGGTAAGTGATACATGAGGTAGCTGTGTGGGAATTAATTATGTGAGAATGTGAAGGTTCAGTGGTTAGGTTGAGGTGCGATAGGCTTCCCTGAAGGGATGAGTCTTTAGGGAACGTCTAAAGGCAGTTAAGGTGGGAGATAGACGGACAGGTTGGGGTAAAGACCATTAGATTGTACCAACATTGCATCAGAAAATACTGTACAATTTGCATATAAAGGCGAATTTACTAAAAACAGCAGGAATTATTCCAATACAAAAAGCATACAAAATACATCAACTTACATTTATCTCTATTGCCGTTACTTGTGTGAATGTATTCCCCCTCTGCATGGTTCTGAAGAAAGTCTTCCTCATCATCTTCAACCACTAAACAAGCAGAAGTGAATTACTTTGCAGGCTGTCATTTTAGGTACACAGCAGTGACAGCGGAGTACACTGTATACAAGACAATAGCAAACAACCAACCAAACGTGTTGTTCTGCTCCAGTAATTAACTCGTCACCAATCCTGTTTCAGATCACACACACAAACAGCCCTTGTGCGACAGGCTCCTATGAGGCTAGCACTGCCAGGAAGACAAAGTGATGCTGTGATATTACAGTCCCTCGCTGACCATTCTCCTCGGACAGAATTTGACAAAGAAAATACAATATAAAACTTGTGTTTTAATTTTTACCACACTGAAAAGCGTGAACATAAAACCTTTAGCAAGGCCGGCTGTGCACAGGCAGATGTCTCACTAACAGCGATGGGAGATTAAATATTTGCCCTTTCTCCTACACTGGACCATAAATGCTCATCGTTGACAAGGATTCTCATTATCAATTATTATCACTTAGTTGTTTCAGCCCCAGTACTAAGGTTTGAAGCAATCTTTAAAAAGACCCTGACACTTAGTGACATATATGCAAAAAATACAAAAAAAAATCATCCTCCCTTCACAACCTTTCATGTAGGTCCCGAAGAAGGAGCGACGATCGAGTCCTTGTTCACACCAAGCAGATGCAGAGCAGTTGCAGAATACACCAAAATGCATCAAATGTATTCCAAAATGGTATTTTGGGCTCTAGTTCAAACCAATGTTCAGGTCCCTATTTTTTCTGCTCTCGAACGCACCAAAATGCATGCAAACGCCCTGGAACGCACTGAAAGGCCATTTTAGGCACACAAAAAAACCCGGCACAAACGCAGAAAAACACACTGCACTGCATGTGCAGAAACTCATGCAGATCTGGTCCGCATTTGGTGTGAACAAGCCCTGAGTGAAAGCTCTGGGCCTGGTGACATCACATACATGATGGCAGAATCCAGCAGCAACCTCAGAGCTTTTGGATTTTTAGACAAAGGAAGCTTTTTGTGTTGAAATAAATGGTTTCAAAGTCACTTTTAATCCTAATTTATAAAAAGTAACCAAGCTAAAACATTGTTTTGTTCGTCACATTTATATAGTAGTCAGAACAAAAGAGTAAAGGTCACAGGAGAAACCATGCAGTGATATCACAGATAAGTGCACAATGTCTATGCTAGAGGACATTCCAGATGCATGGCACTGTATTCCATTGTTCTGAAGGCCCAGATGTTGTATAATAATCTGGGGACCCATACATATTGCTTGCAATACCATCCGTGGTCCTGACACCCAGATTTCACACCTCTGATGATTACGTACACTTAAATTACGTAGAATATACACTATATTGCCAAAAAGTATTGGGACACCTGCCTTTACACGCACATGAACTATAAAGGTGCCCATACGCCTTCTTGCGATGGTCGTAAGCTTATTAAAAGCTCGTACGATCTGCCCATCTTTGACAGGCAGATCGTACTTGCCCGTTCGGCTAGTTGTCGAACAAGCAGGCCAGGTTTTCAAGCCTGCTTGTTCGACGGAAGACATGTGATCGTACAGTAGAAACGGTCGCACGCCTTCCATTGCGATAATCGTACGATCGTGGGATTTCCCGCGGTTCTCGTACGATAATCGTACAGTGTATGGGCCACTTAATGGTGTCCTGGCCTTAGTCCATAGGGTTCAATATTGAGTTGGCCCACCCGTTCCCGGTATAACAGCTTCAACTCTTCTGGGAAGGTGGCCACAAGCATATTTGTGAGGTCAGTGACTGATGTTGGACGAGAAGGCCTGGCTCGCAGTCTCCACTCTAATTCATCCCAAAGGTGTTCTATCGGGTTGAGGTCAGGACTCTGTGCAGGACAGTCAAGTTCGTCCACCCCAAACTCGCTCATCCATGTCTTTATGGACCTTGCTTTGTGCACTGGTGCGCAGCCATGTTGGAACAGGAAGGGGCCATCCCCAAACTGTTGCCACAAAGTTGGTAGTATGAAATTGTCCAAAATGTCTTGGTATGCTGATGCCTTAAGAGTTCCCTTCACTGGAACTAAGGGGCCAAGCTCTGAAAAACAACCCCACACCACAACCGCCCCCTCCACCAAACTTTACACTTGGCACAATGCAGTCAGGCAAGTACCGTTCTCCTGGCAACCGCCAAACCCAGACACGTCCATGGGATTGTCAGACAGAGAAGCGTGATTCATCACTCCAGAGAACACGTCTCCACTTCTCTAGAGTCGAGTGGCGGTGTGCTTTACAGCACAGCATCCGATGCTTTGAATTGCACTTGATGTAAGGCTTGGATGCAGCTGCTCGGCCGTGGAAACCCATTCCATGAAGCTCTCTATGCACTGTTGTTGTGCCAATCTGAAGTCCACACAAAGTTTGGAGGTCTGTAGCTATTGCGGACAGTTGGCGACTTCTGTACACTGTGCGCTTCAGCATGCGCTGACTGTTGTTGCCAGTTGCTTCCACTTTGTTATAATACCACTAAAGGCCGTGACACACTGCACGCGGAGCGGTGGCGTGCTGCCTTTGCGAGCAGTGTGTCATGTCCTTAACAGTTGACCGTGGAGTATTTAGTAGCAAGGAGATTTCAAGGAGCGCCTGAATCTAATGATTTGGAGGAGTGTCCCAATACTTTGGCAATATAGTGTATATGAACAAAATGAAGAGCCAACCTATATTTTAACCTGCAACCTCAAGATACCATACTTTTTCATGGTTTTTCTATTTACAACAGAAGTAATTTAATCTACAGCTGAAAGAAAATTACCTGCATCTCGCTCAAGCTCATCTTTACAGACTGCATCAGCGCATGCGTCAAAATACTTCTGCAAAGTGTCAACCTGCCTACATAGAATGTCACGGAAAGTCTCCATTTCAGCAAGTTTCTCTCGTAGACTGTGTCCTTTCTGGAAAAGGAAAACGGCAACAAATCAAAGCGCTCTATTAGGTAACATATGGAATAAGTCAAATCCAGACAGTGTTTATGTGCTCTATAAAAACTGCAGAACTCCTGGCAAAAGTGACAGCCCTCTGTTTAGCCCATATAGGTGTTCACGAAAAACTGCTAAAAAGACATTTAAACAATGGTGTTCAACTTCATGAACTATGTTCACCTTCATTATTTTTATATATTACCACTATCCCACACATATCCAAACAAAATGAGGCAAAGAGCAGAAGCAAGGACACCTTCAGTCTCTCCTCCAATTATATATAATCCAGTATATTACTATGTATTACATAACACAGGAGCCAGAACTGGAAGCAAATACATGATTTAAATGACCGACCTTGAATGATGATGTGGATGTAGCGGAATATCCACTTGCTCCAGACACAAGGGAGACCATCGAGCCATGCCGCCGTAAGCTAGTCTCTGATCCATAACCCGATTCAGACTGAGAAAGATGAAAAAAAATAAACATGAATCAAAGCTGTACACAGACCATTAAGACTTGAAAACCCATTAACAACAGAAAAGGACAGCATTGAAGTCAAATTAATGCTTATGGGAAATGCTAACCCCTTCATGGCCAGGGGGCATCTTCTACCTTTATGATCAGATTCATTTTGGTGAGGATTAAGTTATTTTCCTCAGGTGTTGGTGTAATAGTCTTTCTTTAACCCTTGACGGTAATGGCCAAAAAGGTAGCATTTAGGCAACATTGCTCTATCAGGTGTTCACTATGGGGAGGGTGTGGGTTTGGATCAAAGTTCCTCAACTGTAATCACAGCAAAAAAAAGTTAACTGAATTTATCATATCAGAGCTGCACACGGGCTTATAAAAACCAAAATTAAAAAAGAAAGAAAAACAGAAAATCAATCAGGAATTACATTAGCAAAGTAAAACCAGACTGATGCCAACTGATTCATTTTAGGTACTACACTTTGATCCAGGCACTATTTCTAAGGCCCCATTCACACTGAGCGACATGAAAATCGAGCGATATTGAGCGACTTTTTCCTATTGGGCTGTATGCAATCAGGAGCAAAATCGCTTGAAAAAAAGGGTCATGTAGGAGCGACAAGCTACCAGCGACGAGCTACAAGCGATATTGAGCGACGAGATGTGAACAGCTCCATTGAAATGGATTGTTGACCTAAAAATGGCTGGACAGTTGACTGTGTATGGGGTACCAGCAGAGGACATTTGCCAGTAATAGACATTAGAGGTGCGTCTTTAATCAATAGATTTTCCTCACACACCACACTGGTTTTAACCTCATATACGGGGTGCTGCAGGAACCAACAAACCGCACGAAACAACAAATTGCATAAAACCTCTCCAGCATAGCACCCTCTTCTATGTATAGTACTTTTTTTTTTATTGGTGAACAAAATGCAACTCGCAGCAAAGTGCAATGTTTTGGAGACTAACAGGGCTCCTCCATCAAGCGACGTGAAACATGTTTTTGTTTAGGGACATAGCAGCCAACAAATGCCTGAACGGTGTCTTTAAACATATCTCAAATCAAATCTTTTCTCTTACTTTTCAGTAAGGTGTTCAGGTCTAACCGGGCGCCCTCAAATTGACTACTTCCTGTCTGGCTGATGCTTTACCAGACTGGAAGTGGGGGGACCTCTCAAACATCAACTGAAACGGAAGTCAGTCACTTTAGAAATGTGGAAAAGCAGTCCAACTGAGGGGTGGGCGACACAGCAAAAAAATGCCAACAGGCCCAAGAAAACAGAACTGGTGACTGCCCACAGTTTAAAGAGAAACCTGAAGGACCTTCCACCCGAAGCTGGCATCAGATGAGGGCCGAACATCCACCAGTTAGATCTTAGAGAACATATGAACAGAGGACCAGCCTTGCAAATCTAGGAAACAGTTGCTGGATGCCAAAAAGCCTAAGACACACCCACAGATCTGATAGCGTGCGCGTTGACAGGAAAGAGTGGAACTCAATCTTTGGGACCATAGGCTTGGATGATGGTCTTTGAGCCACCTAGAAATGGTGCAATGTAAAGCTGGTGTACCCTTATGGGAATGACAAAGTGTATCAGCCTTTCTGAAAGAAGCTGTGGATGATGGCTAGATTCACAGCCTAAGCCACATTCAGACAATGGAAGGAAAAAAAGGGACAAAAGAACGATGTCCTGGTTAAAGCGAAAGGCTGAAACTACCTTGGGCAAGGACAGTCCTAGACCTCAACACCACCTCGTCCCTATGCAAAACTAGAAGGGGTTCCTTGCAAGGCCACAAGAGGAGTTGAGAAACTCCTCTTGCAGAGATATTGGCTGCAAGGAATTCCACCTTGTGGATGAGAGCGGAAAGTGCAATGTCTCGGATGGATTAAAAAAAAAAAAAAATACAAATTAGAAACCGGAATTCTGATTGATTTCTTTAAATCAAGAGTCTTGACTGAAGAAACAAAAATGCTAAAGAAAAGAAAAAGGTGTTTCCAAAAAAAGATTAGTCTTAACATCCTCCTAGGACACTAGCAAAAACAGGTATGCTGGTAGTACGAGGGGTCATCCTGGGCGGGCCTACAGTTATTTTGCTTGCTAGTGTCCAATCCTCCTATACTTGGCAGTATAACCTGAAAGTGAATGACTGCCTGCGTCTGTCAATGGACAAGAAAGATGTACGATTTGTTTTTTGTAGAGTAAGGGAAGGTTAAAACCCCCTCAAATTTATTTTTTTGTTTTCCACGTAACAATTTTTCCCCGCCACTTCCACTCTGGTGAAAAGGTCATCAGCAGGGCAGGAAATGCGTTTGAAACTAACAGAACCCTGGATAGAAGTAAAGATGACAGGAATTCTAATCCTTTACCTCCTTTAACACTCTAGCCAACCAAAAAAAACCACAAAAACGTTTTGCCTTCATATACACACATTAAATTGTATTTTGCACATGCTAGTTTTATTTGACATTTACTGTCTCACCACCGTAACGTGAACCTTTATTTTGTCTAATGCCTTTTGTCCTACGTTGCCGCTTATACTCCCCTACCTAACCTGGGTCCTTTTGGATAAGGGGGAGCATGCAATGATCCTCTTTCTCCCACAATGCAGGTTTGACTGCCAAGGCCTGAGAGCTGTCACATGGAGGTACATAGAGGTTCCTTCTCTCTGTGTAAGCTCTGGCCAGGCACACACAATTTTCTTACTTTGACCTGCCGGGCCAACATGGTAGCAGGGAAGTAAACAGAAAGGTTTAGGGAACCGGTTACTTTTACCTGCATCTCACCAAAAATGAAGTCAGCTTCTACATTAAAAACAAATGCAAACTGCACTTTCAGAACATCAGGCTCACTTGCCAACTACAAGCCATTTACTCAATATATCTTCCAGCAACAAATGACACAGACCTCAGAAATACTACAGTACAGCACGGTCCAATTTTCAGAACTTTGCTCATTACACACAACCTTTTAGTAGCTGGAATTGGTAAAGCTTTTCCATGCAAAAAACAAAAAAAAACAGACCCTTTTTTTTAGCCACTCCAAGGTCAGCTTCTTATGTGCCAGTAACCAAGAGGAATCGGTGTATTACAATACAAATCTACAGGAATCTGGATGGCATGTTGGGTCTCTTTCCATCTATGTATATTAGTTGCAGTTCTGCAATACAACATGCAAGTCAGAGATTTTACTGCTGCACTTATGGTTTGTAAAGCAGATCATTAGAAAGTCTGTGCAGAAAAGCACTCAGAAATAAAAGGATCGATAGCGAAAGAAAAAACCCCACCGCGAGCACAAACAGCTCTAAGACTTAACTCTAGCAATGCCACAAACCAATCAAATGCGATCTAGAACCGTCCCAGCTGATAGAAAGGAACCACAAATCCCAGCATGGCATAGCAGCAGCTGGCTGGGCATGCTGACATTTGTAGTCTGAACAGCCACGTGTACCAAATACTTAATCTAGGGTGACCAGAGAGATCTACGGCTTTAAGGCTGAGCTAGAACAGTCCAGCAGTTACCTGGCCACTGCCTAATGCCTATGGCACAGAGTGTGCAGAAAGATTCAGTACAGTCCTGCAAATGTCGCTCTACAACCTGCTGCACTGCGTCACCTTCTCCAGCACTTTAGACATCCGAGCGGCTTCCATATTACTGCTTCCTCTTTCCAAGAGTAATGTCAGTCAGTCGAAGGAGATGAGATGATGTTCATAAGCCCTGCCTAGCCAATTATGATGCTCGCCAGGAAAAAAAGGACTGGTCTGGCTGACACGCAATCTGAGGGCACAACGGAGACATATGCAGGACACGCTCAGCAACCTGAATTGGATCGATAATGCTAACAATGGAAGAGACTCATGGGAAAACGCTTCTCTGCAAACATTGATGGCATTGCTGCACGGGAAACACAACCTTCAACACATCACTACATACATATTGTATATGGAAATCCTAGGGGAAGCATTACTAAACGCAACATCATTCACACCTATGCCTTTCAAGAACACAAAGCATTTTAAATCTCCTTTCCCAGTGATGTCTATAGTCTGAGGAACTTTTAGAACTCCATTTAAAAGCCAGTAAATGAGAACAGGCCCTGTAAAAAGGAAAGACATATGAGGCTCATACACAAAGCTTTACATGAAGATTATTATCTTTATTTTCAGTAATGATTTTCAAATCTTATTGGATGGTCACTTTTTTAAAAGTATCTTTATCCTGGTGTGCTAGCTTTATGAATCAAGCCTATTGAACGTATATTTTCCGCAAGGATACATGCTGCCTATTCTAATGCCAACAACAGTTATGGGCTACAAGAGGATTGGTGTTTTAGAAAAGGAATATGTCCCGATTTAGGGTTTTTGTTATAGCACTTTTTATATACTTTTTTTTAAAAAATTTATATTAAAAAAAAAACGCAAAAAGCAGCCAATATAAAGCTAGCCAGATATGATGAGATCTGACTGCACCATCTACAAAGTTCAGACTGGTACAGCAACATAAATGTGTAAATTAACACAATCCAATGCATTCAAGACATTGGTGAAGGCTGCATGAAACCGTGCTTGGGAGCACTATATTTTCCATTATGTCTGAGCAGATAGGAAAGCTGAGCTGGCCATATACTAGTCGATTTTTTTTTTGTACTCAGCCTGCAGATTCCTCCATTCACACTAAAACATGGATGAGGGCACTGTGAGTGAGCTGTAAGTAATGCATGTATGGATGGATGGAGCCCCCTCGCTGCCATAGATCCAGCCCACCCCACCGAGCAGAATATTCTGAATGGCTGCTCAGTGCAAGAACTGACATTGCTGCGCTAGGAGGAGGCCGAGAAGCCTTTCACCTAGAAAAGTAGAAGGCACGCGGAGACCCACTGAACACGGGGTTGCGACCCACCAGTTGAGAACCAAGGTTCTAAACAGTATATGCATTAAAGAGAATGACCAACAATTTGGCTGCAAAAGTGAAAATACACTTTAAAAATGG